TCTATGTACTCCAGGCCAAATCTCTCTCCAGTGTCTGTGGTGGACAGGCAAAAAATCATATCACTAAACTCAACAGCTGGACCTTAGCACCGTATCAACTGATCATCTATCTATCCATCCGTCTAAATCATCTATGTCAGTGGTGGATAGCTGGCTTCCTTACCTGCTGCTCTCTACTTTGTATTATGATGCGAAAAATCTGATAGACAAAAACAGACACACTATAGTTAACTGTTTAAGCCAGTGGCATTTATCACCATCGATAAATGCTGGTCACCATTGTTCCCAATGACCAATCACTGATCCCCATTGTTCCCAATGACCAACCACTGATCCCCATTGTTCCCCAGGGACCTTTCGCGTATGCTTGGTGCTCAGTGATTTGTCATTAGGAACAACGGTGATAAGTGATTGGTTGTTGGGAAACACTGGTGATCAGTGATTGGTCATGAGAAACAATGGTGATCGGTGATTAGTCATGAGGAACACTGGTGATTGGTTGTGAGCAATCAGGCATTACACACCCATAGTGAGTTGAGCGAACCCGCTTGCTCAACCCGCTCGCTCAACTCATATAACGGCAGCTGGAGGGCTTGAGTTTGAGACGGCCACTAACATCTGCTCAAAAAAGTCGCTAGATTTGTTGTTTGGATTAATGTGAAGTTTTTTCTGTTTGCCCTGTGATTATGTTTACATGCACCTCAAATTCCGTGTAAGGTCTGTATTCGATTTGCAGCCATATTCCGAATACAATGTTTATATACATACAGGCATCAGAATAGTCCGTACGTGGTTGCTGTAAATATGCCAATCTACACATGTGCGTTTCCTTTCCCGCTGTTATTTCACGGGAGATTCAAGATGCTGCTTTTGGCTATAGAATATGCTCAGTTATTAGTTTTATTACTACTTTTCCACACTAATTTAACTAGGACTCTAACACTTCTCACCGTCAAAAACTCAGTTGTATGGTTACCTTAGCACCCTCTCGACTGATATTACATTTTGCTCCGTATTATAATGCAAAAAACCTGAAAGACAAAAACAGACACACTATACACAAGTCAGGACACAACTATCTAAGCCGATCAGTTATCACCATATCTAACTACAACACACACAAACTTCACATTAATCAAAACAACAAATCTAGCGACTTTTTGAGCAGGATTTAGTAGTTTCATGTGAAGTAAAGTGCTAAGTTTTAAGTGGGTGTGCGAGGGAACAGCGCCACATAGCGTTAGTGGCTACGAATATATGACATCCGTAGTGGTTTAGCACTGACATAGAGAATGAATGGGAAACAGTTTAAGGAGTTTTGGCTGAACTCCTCGTTAGTATAGTGGACAGTATCTCCGCCTGTCACACTGTCACAAGCAGAAGCCTTGGTTTAGCTCTTATTTTAGCTGTGACAGGAGTGGGGAGGTGTTTTTTTTCTATGGTTTCTGTAGTGTAGTGGTTATCACGTTCGCCTCACACGCGAAAGGTCCCCGGTTCGAAACCGGGCAGAAACATGGCTGTAATTTTGCTCGCTTCCGTGAACAGCAGAAACTTCACGCCACATACAGTTTATTGAACAAAGAGAAAGTATCTAAAGCACGCTTATAAAGTCACTAGAAAATGCCATTGCATATTATTTATAAATTGGTATATCACATTACAAATTAGGGTACATGAAGAATGAAGATTTTCACTTAATTTTATAAATAGAATAGAATAGAATTTTTTTTTAGCAAAATAGAAAATAATAGATTATAATTTATTTCTTAAACAAAGTATTTCTTACAGAAAGAAGTCATCTTTGGTCATGACACCTTGCACAAACTAAACTTTTATGCATTTACAAAATTCTATATTTCTATCAAGGAAGCAGACAAAAGCAAATTGCTGTGGTGACAGTGACAGTGAGTAGTCCTGAAGGAAAAGGTTTCTCACTTTTATTAATTGTAAATATCACTAAGAAGTGAGTTGTAAACAAAGAACAAGGACGTACAAGGGAGGGGAAAATAGTGGTAATCAGTGTTTGGTTATTGAGAACAATGGGGATCAGTGGTTGGTCATTGGGAACAATGGTGATCAGTGATTAATCATTGGGAACAATGGTGATCAGTGATTGGTCAATGGGAACAATGGTGATCAGTGATTAATCATTGGGAACAATGGGGATCAGTGATTGGTCATTGGGAACAATGGTGACCAGCATTTATCAATGGTGATAAATGCCATTGGCTTAAATAGTTAACTGTGTTGTGTCCTGACTTGTGTATAGTGTGTCTGTTTTTGTCTTTCAGATTTTTTGCATTATAATACATAGTAGAGAGCAGTAGGTAAGGAAGTACAGAGTAGTAGGTAAGGAAGCCAGCTGTTATTTGGTGTGAAGTTTCCGCTCTTCACAGAAGCGACCAAAACTACAGGCATGTTTCTGCCCGGTTTCGAACCAGGGACTTTTCGCATGTGAGGCAAACATGATAACTATTACACCACAGAAACCACGGCAGCTAAGTTCCTCCCCACTTCTGTCACAGTTAAAATAAGAGCCAAACTAAAGCTTCAAGTCTATAATTTCTAGATATGCTGCATTCACTTAAATACAGATGACTTCTTTCTGTAAGAAATACATTATTTAAGAAATAAATTACAATCTATTATTTTCTATTTGACTAAAATTTTCTATTCTATTGTATTTATAAAATTAAGTGAAAATCTTCATTCTTCATGTACTCTAATTTGTAATTTGATATGCCAATGAATAAATAATATGCAATGGCATCTTCTAGTGACTTTATAAGCGTGCTTTTCCTCTGAAAAGAGATGACAACACTGGGGGAAAAGGATCAGCCCTGGTTTAGCATGATGAAAAAGCTCATATCTAGGAGCTGCCTTAAGTAGAGGTTACTCTTCAACTGCATAGACAATGTACAATCATTAGTTTATTTTAAAATGATTTAATTTACTTTTTAAAGAAGCTTACCTTAGCAGTAGTAGTGTATTAAGTGTCCGGTTTTGTGGATCCACACAACACACTAACCAGAAGTGTTAAGTTTTATGTGAAGTACAAGTGCTACGTTTTAGGTGGATGTGCGTGGTAACAGTGCCATAAAGTGTTAGTGGATAAAAATAAAAAAAAAAATTTCTAAAAATATTTTGATTATATTCATTAAACAGATCTCTTTTGTTTTCCTTTTCTTTTCACAGAAAGGAATCCATGGCTGCAAAAAGTTGGGGAACCCCTGAAGCATTCAATAATATAGTATAAGGAATAAAACATTATATAGTCGCCAACAGGCCTGATGCTCAGTGGACTTGAAGCTGATTATTTGCCTATAACAGCATGTCCTGAGGTGTTTTATGTCCCATATTCCACATCAATTTCCCAACAATTAGAATAATTTATTAATTAAAATCAACACTGTGTAAATTTTTATCCATTTATTATGTTTAATATTGAACCTCTATGAGACAAGTTATATAATTCCAGCCTCTCATTTCTCTTTCATCGAGTTAGTAATACAACAAAAAACATTTTATATATATGTGCTAAATAAATAAATTTCCACAAGTCATCATTATCAAGTTAATTGAAACGTCCAGGTGCAAAGCTCATAATTGAATAAAACACTTGGGGACATATTGTTATAGGAAAATAATCAATGATGTCATGGAGTCATGCGAAATTGATTTTTTTCTTAAAATGTCATATAGCTATATACAATTGCTCCCTCACCAACCTTAAAGTTAAAAAGACAAAAACAGCTATCTATCTATCTATCTATCTATCTATCTATCTATCTATTTATATATATACTGTATATATAGATATAGATATAGATATATATTGTGGAGCAGCAACCATACAGTCCCTGTGTAAGTTGTTACTATACGCAGAACTACTATCAGAGCTGCTGCTATAGAAAATTAATCAACACCTGACAAATTTCAAATGAGAATTCAGTGTTTAAATGTTTAAAGTGCTGTGGTTGCTGTGCATTGCAGTTATTAGATTATTTAAAAAAAAAAATTAAACATACTTATTGCCTTCTTTCAACCCACGTGATTCTCTAATAAGGACATATCAGTGTTTAAAGACAACAGACTCCTCAATAAGAAATCCTTTAATGAAAAGAAAAACATCCATTTCTGTCTGTTTCATCACAACCTTCTCCTGCAATAGTGTAAGGAAGCACCCCGAGTTAAAAGCAGACCATTGCTGTTCTTGCCAATGTTGGTACGACTTCCACAGAACAAAAAAGGGGAGGCTTGTGAACAGCTTCTGGCTAGATCACTCAGTAAGCTTTAATTATCAGTCTCCAAAGTGTGTGTGTGTGTGTGTGTTCCTGCTAAAATACAGCTTAAACCAGCATGAATCTATCCTGTTCCTGCTGGTGCAGGTCATTTTCCAGCAGGTGTGTCTATGTGTGGATCCTGTTGTCCCAGAGAGAAGCTCCCAGTGTGTTTATGTTCCTGTCTAAGTGTGTTAAACTCTGTTTCCATGAACACACACATCCACAACTCCACTGCTCACTGTGCTTTCTGTCTGATGGGCCTCAGGGAGTGTGTGCTCTCTTTCAAACACTCTGTGAATCAGGCTAGAGGACACCTTACAGGCTCGGTCATGTAAAGAGTTTTGAATACTGTTGCTTCTCACACTCCCTAAATTCTAAAGCTCAGGTCTGTATAAAAGACTGGAAATGATGCTCACATCTGAAATGACTGAAAAACCATAATTTGAACTATTAGTTGTTAATGAAATGTTTGGTTTGATGATGTATTAAAATAGTGCTAAAGATATTAGCTTTAATGATTCTGAAACTTGAGCCAGTTAGATATTTGAGTTACAAAAAGACAATGAGAAACCAACACACACCTCTGGACTTAAGGGCAGAGATTTAGTGCCAGAAATCCATTGTGATGGATGAACTTTAACTGTTTTGTATATTGGAAAACTCAATTAACTAGTCCTCATAGGCAATTTTGTAGGCTAGGCTACCACAGAACTGCTGGGATTCAGACTGATTTCTTATTAAGTTTTGGGTTGTCGTCATTTGACATTGGATTGAATGACAAAATTGATTAAAAGTTAGCCAAATGAACCAAAAAAACATTCCTCAGTTATAAAATATATACAGAATAAAGTGGTATGTTATACTGTACGTAAGGAATAAAACACTTGGTGGTGTGCTGTTATAGGAAAATAATCACTGATGCCATGCTGTAATGTGGCTCAACAGGAAGTTGATTATTTTCCTATAACGGTATGTCTCCAAATGTTGTATTACTCTTACACCACAGCAATTGGTTTAAATTTTTTACAATTTTTTAAATTTATTAAATAACACCACATCATACTTTTTTAAAAATCAGTTTATATTTAAATTTATTGTTGTGGAAACGAGTTAGTTCCTGTTATTTCTTTTTTCTATCTTGAAGTTAACAAGACTTGAAGTCTTGAAGTACACACAAGAAACAAAATACACACAAAAAAAGTAAATTACAGAGAAACTGCAAAACAGTTCTCCAGTGTCGGAAAACTTAAAAATACTCCATTACCTCTGACTGTTACTGCACTGACACTGGAGACTTCTTACAAATAAATGCTAAATAAATGCCTTCAATCTTTGTCATTTCTTCTAGATTAGCGTGCTAGCTAAACTAGCGGATTAGCGAGTTAGCATGCTGAACAAATCACCACTGAGACGCTAAACAAACACAACCTGCATTTAAGTGAATGTAGCATGTCAGGAAAGTAATTATAGATTAGAAGTTTTAGTTTGGCTCTTATTTTAGCTGTGACAGAAGCAGGGAGGGATCTTATTGCTCTGTAGTGTAGTGGTTAATACGTTTGCCTCACACACAAACAGTCCAGTGGTTGAAACTAGGCAGAAACATAACTGCTACTTTGATCATTTCTGTGAACAGCAGAAACTTCACACCACATACAGTATATTGAACAAATGTTATTTAGAAACAGCCTCACAATAAGCAGCTGCTTCCACAGGATAATATTTAAATTTAATATAATATTTAAAACTGAAAAGAAAGCAGTGATTTACACCGTCCTCCACTTTAGTGTAGTGTACAGTATCTCCGCCTGTCACGTTCTGCCTGGTTTGGATTATCTATATTTTGATTATTACAGGCATCTTACCTTTGATCAATGAACACAGAATGTAGCTAGAATTACGCAATAGTAATCTAGTAAGTGTCTGGATCCATACAACGCACTAGAAATGAGTTTTAGGTCAAGTGGTTAGGTCAAAGCCTTAGTGGTCAAAAATATATTACATCCATAGTGGTTTAGCACTACCATAATAATCTAAACCAGCCAGAAACATACAGTAGTCGCCATTTTGATATTAGCGCAACTGCAAAAAAAAAAAAACCTTCAAACATCTCACTATATTATTCAGAAATAGCCTCACAGTGAGTTGCTGTTTCTACAATATAATACTTATCACAGTCAGCAGTTTTAAAATGCTCCTTGTTAGTATAGAGAATGAACTACCACAGAGAATGAATGGGAAACTTTTTAAGAGTTTTAGCTACTGTCCACTATACTAACGAGGTTGATGATCAGTGAAAACAGTGTTTTCTTGTGTGTTTTAAAACTGTAACTGTGGCAAGTAATATACTGTGTATACAGCTACTAACTGTGAGGCTGTTTCTGAATAACATAGAGCAATGATTGCATTTTTTCCCCTTTGGTCACGCAAATATCAAAATAACATTTCTGTTTTTTGCCCAGTTTCAAACCAGGGACTGTTCACATATGAGGCAACCATGATAACCACTACACTGTACTTCACAGTTCTGAATGACCTCAAATATGAGAAGCTTATACCCTGTAACACCTTTCCAACTGACTTAAATAGAAAGTGTATTTGTTTAGTGTCTCTGTGTTGATTTATTCAGTGTGCTAACTCGCTATTCTGCTAGTTTAGCTAGCACGCTAATCAACAGGCATTCTTCACGATGCTGTATCTAAACTGCCTTAAATATGATACATATTCTACACAAACATTACTTATTATGATTAATTCTATCAGAAAAAAGGACACGAGTCTACTTTTAGTCAACAAACGTCGAGTACAGATCATTTTGAACATATTTTGGTGAGTCTCCTTTCTTCCACTTTGCACTGCACAAAGTAGATTAATGAACCGTCAACTACATTATGTAGATTTTTTTTATGATTTCCTTGTTTTAAATTACTTTAGTAACACAATAATGTCAAAAAATTATATTAGCCTGACAGAAAAAATGCCATTCAGCAACAGATTCAATGACAAGCTTAGAAATAAGAATCTGTCTGCTACAAATATTACATCAATACAACTACTACTTATTCACAAAACAGGCAAATTAGTGTCAAATAGGTTTACTGGGTTTGGTTTTAATGCCTGATATTTTCATATCAAGAGTCATATTCAGAATATACTTATACCTAACATTCTGAACATTTTCAGCAGTACTGTTTTGTCTGCATTTTGTTT